TTCGCGAATATTTTTATGTATTGACGATAAGGAAAATATATATAACTTGCGCCCTATTTACCGCGCCGGCTCTTACTGCCTCTTTCCCTTTAATCGACTTAATAATATTGTATTTTACGTTATGACGTTCTTACGAAGGCGATATAAACTAATGGAAATGACGTCATTATGTGATAACTCTAATATAGCAGCGATTACGTGATTGATATACTTAAAAATGTCAAGTTTCATCTGAAGTGTTTTTGTTCTTCATATTTATAATTAATCATTGATTGACGTACAATGTGTCGAAATTAATTATCAAAGTAAGGAAAACCAAGTTGGAAAAAAGTATTGAGGCGAGGTACCATTAGTGATAATTTTTTGAATACTTATATCTGTTTATTATATGTATGTTTGTAACTGTGTAATAAATGACGGCGAGAGATACTTTTTAACGCTTTGACGATACGAAAAATAACGATAATCGATTTTTCACTTATCAACGACTTCGCGGACTATGTTGATGAGGAGAACGCGTAGTCTTTGTATATTTCAAGCAAAGCATATAAGCAACTTTATTCTACTCGTAAAGTTATTATTGGACTAATTTCTCTTGTAAAGAGCAGGTTTAACTTTAAAGTTTATTAGAAGATTACTTTTTTGTTCGACATTGTTGACGTCGGTTAACAAGGATTAAATTCAAAAGTTATGTTGTTTAAATTGCACGTTAAAGAATTGGCCTTTGCAATCTCGCGCGAAATTTATACGGAGCTTCGTACAATTCAGTGCTAGTTACTACTACATTGTTTTGGCACCGTACGTCACTAAAGCTTCACTGAATAACGACAGCTGGATCCAATAAGGGAGTCAGGCTTGGTGAAAATCACGGTTGTTGTCTTTCGGAACAGAAAAAAACTGCCGCAATCTCTATCGAGCTACCCAGAAAATACCATTTATAACAAATTATGACGCACAAACTTTTAAAAGTTGCAGCATCGTAATAAAAAAGATAAAATAAAAAAATATATTTTGTTAATTATATTAAAAAAATAACTCCACTAGGAATTCAGATAAAATGTTTAATAAGAGTTTAATAAGTTACATTAAAAAAAATAATACTTTTTTCTGATTTAAATAAATAATTTTTTATCTCTCGCTTTCATATACCGAGAAATTTTAAAGTCAATTTTAAAATCAAAATTGCGAATGTTCTGCATATTCCTATAGAGTTGTGATGCATTAATATGCTTGATTGCAAGTCTGCAATCTTTAATTGCGAAGGCAGGAAGCGTTACAAGATCGATCATTTATGAAACTGGTACCTAAACCATTACATGCTCCTTCTAACTTTCTTATTGCGTTCATAACGAGAAGATTCGCGACTGCATAACATATGTGCATCTAGGCAAACCGACAGACTTTTTTGAAACCTGCAGATATTTAATGGTTGGGATGATCCTAATTATATGAGATATTGATATCGTGCGATGTACGCATAGTCGGGCTTAAGTTTGACGTTAATATGCGGGACTTACCAACGAGACAGATCGCTGCTGAAGCTTGAGACCCAGGTCCTCTTTTTCATCTCCACAGTCGGTCGTATAGAACAGCACGCTCTTCTTAGATCCCCTGAAATCAACCCTCGTTAGTGTCTCCAGCGGACAAGAAGAGACGTGGGTCTTGTGCCTTAGCTCTCTAAGTCCACTTTACGAGACGGGAACGCGAGCTGGAATTTCGCGGTATAATCTGATTAGAACGAGGACCATAATTCGATCGATAATCTGATCGGACATCCTCTCACGACGCTATCGCGACCGACAATATCGCGGTAACGGTGATTTAGAAGAGGTTTCGATATAAGCGTAGCGGAAGCACATTCGTTATTACTATACATATATGGTTACTACGTGAACTGTTATGTGTTATTTAAAACGGTAAAAGTTAAAGGGATAAGTATGTTAATTATAACTCTTTATAATAATAATCCTATATATAATCTTGTTTGACTAAAGAACGAGCGTGTGATATGATACATTCAGCAACATTTTTCGCAATGCTTTTTAATTCTCTTAGCAATTTTCCTAGCGATCTCGAGACCTAAACTGTCGCGCAGCATTGAAACGCAGTTGATAGGAACGACCGGCGCGCAGGTCGTTTTCGAATTATACTCTTCAATTACAAGCTATAAATTAAAGTACGATCAACGCCCGTTCTGTCGCAGGCGATTAAACCTCGCAAGTCGGCGTAGCGACGTAGCGTGCATGCTTGTGTGGTATGCACTTATGGTAATCGTACCTAAGCGCCTTCCCATTACGGTTGAAGGGCTGATGTTCGGTGAGCACGGGCGAATCCGTGTAGCACCGGCTCTCGCTCATAGCGACAACTACGGCATCGCAACTCTTCTTAATCTGTCCGTCAGGTAGACATCTGCAAAAAAAGAGAGAGTAGCCGTTACGATTGGAACTCGTATGTGAAATGAGATTTCGGTATTTATGACTCGCGCGATAACACATTGCAGTTTATCTGTCAGCGTCCCGCGCATTACTTTTTAATGATAAAATCTTCGCTCGATCTGGAGCTGATCTTTTCTTAACAAAAGTCCCGAGAATCATATTTGATCCGTAGCGTTATATATCTTTAACTTAACTTCAAATTGAAATATTGTTAGAGCCAGCATTGGGCAGATACTTCGACGTAAAGTATTTAAATACAAGCTACAATTTATACAGCACACAATGTTTTCAAAAAATATTTCTACATATTTCTATTAAAATATTGCAAGAAATATTTTAAAATAGTTAAAAAACCTTTTGTGGAAACATTTTTAAGAATATTTTAAGAATCTTTTAAAAATATTTATAAAAAAGTTCTTCTTTACCAGGCAATTTAAATATCTAATTCTAAATAAATATGTGATTATATTAAGTAAATAAGGTCATTGGTACTAAAAAGGATAAGTGGTGAAAAAATATTTTCTTGGATCTAAGTATTTTTTTCAGTGTAGGGCCGGTATTGATGGGAGATTGAAGAAATTAGCGTAGTAGTGGAGCAGTCGTGGTAGCAGCCTAAGTGATAGGCGTGTGAACGAAGGATCCCGAGTTCGAGTCCCGGTCGGCTCCATTAATTTTTCCCGTCGCTTACAAACAGAAGTTCATTATTTAATATTTTTTATGCACAAACATATATACAAGTCATACTCATCCTTTAAATACCTTTTTGTAACTTGTTTATTGTAAATACAAAAGTTATAAAAAAGGATGAGTATGACACTATTATGTGTATATATTTATGTATTTTTTTTTATTATGTTATGCAATCCTTAAAATCCTAACTTGTCTGCTTTTATTATAAAAAGTGTAAAGTCAGATTTATGTAATTTTTAACTATGCATTATAACAAATTTTAATATATATATAAAGAAGATGTGTGTAAAACGGCCCCTTTAAGAAATAAATTTATTTTACTTCCAAAGGAAACATATTTGGATTAAAAATATCGTTAGAAGTATTCATTGACATTTTTGTTAATTGAAAAAGTTGAATATAAGCATCCCTTAAATTTTCAAAATTAGTAGCAAACAAAAAACAGCAGATATACATTTTGGCCGTTTTAATAGGGTGTGGCTAAAACAGCTCCAGTATATAATTTTATTTTTATTTTATATATCTTTGTGGTATACTTATTTTATATATACTGTGATATAAACTATAAAAAAGTAAGCTTACTTTAAAATAAATTTAGACGTATTTCAATATGTAAATAATTAATTTTTATTTGCAAAAGTCACAGATAAAATTTTCTGTCTCGGTGTTGGCAGTTCTTTGGCACAATTTTCTACAGATGATGATTGATGATTTTCGAACCCTTTTCTCCCATTTCTTAACCTAGAAATTATCATAATCCAGGTAGTAGAGTAAAATAACGTCTTAATGACGTCTCTAACGCCAATAAAACGTCATTAAGACGTCTTTAAACATTATCTTGCTACTTAGGAAAATGAAAGCGTATATGAGATATCGTACATTGGTGTAATGCCGTTGCCGTCTTACCAACAAGGGTAGCTAAACTGAAGAATTACCGAAAGACGTCATTAACACCATAATGCACTAGGTAGCCAACATAACCTAATAATTGTAAGTCTCCCGATGACAGCGCTGCGTATTTGTTATGAAAATAAGTAGGAGGCCGTTTTACACAATGGGACCGTTTTACATCTCCCCTATATATATATATATATTTTTATATATATGACACATAATATAATACACCCCCCCCTTTACACGCACGGACACACGACACGTACACACGACACATTCCAATGGGTTACTATGTCATGTACAATTTAGAGCCTCGATCCGCACAAGACTTTCGTACTAACATAGTGTAACAAAACGTAGATCAACGCACAAAAAATCGTATCGGTTACGGCGTTATACGTCAATACGTTTCTTGTTAGTAAATGATTCGAAAATCGTGGCAGTAGTGCCTAAAATGCAGTTGGCAATAGCGCCATAGTTTCTTTCTCTTCTTTTGGTACTATATGTCTATATATATACGTTTTTATTATACGATATACACGATATATTGTCCGTCCCTTTTATTGAATCCTTGTATCACTGCGCCATCAGGTTATGAGCCCAGGATACTGCTTCTGTTCAAGTCGAGAGAGTCAGGTACGAATAAATAGAGAAACTAATCTCTTCAGGCGGGTGACCCTACATCTACAATGTCGACACCGTAATCGTCCGTACATAATCCGTTCCCGACTGCTGAAAGGTAGAGAGAACTACCAGACGTGGAAAGTAAGCATGCAGGTTGTCCTGGAAATCGACGATCTGTGGGGATGCGTCACAGGACAACAGGAATACATCGGGAACGCTAGCAAGGTCAGTCGCGCCAAAGCAAGAATTATTCTAAGCATAGATCCAATGCTTTATGTGCATGTGAGAGATTTGTCTACGGCAAAAGAAGTGTAGGAAAGTCTTCAAAAGGCGTTCGAGGACTCAGGTCTCACGAGAAGAGTCGGCCTGATAAAGACATATATGACAACAACTAAATTATCAGACTGTACCACGGTGGACGAATACGTGAACAGAATCATAACTGCAGCACATCAATTACGAAGCACTAACCTCAATGTATCGGATGAATGGATAGTCGTTATTATTAGCCGGACTCCCCGATGAGTACAGACCCATGATTATGGCCTTAGAAAGCTCTGGAATGGAAATCTCAGCTGACTTGGTAAAAATGAAAATCTTATAGGAAGTGAAGAATAAGGAGAGCGGCACAGCACTTTATACAAAACGAGATAAATCTAAAGTGAAGAGCAAGGGACCCGCTGCTTCAGATGCAACAGACATGGACATTTCGCAAAAGAATGTACAAAAAGAATCGGCAATCACAACTTAGGTGGCAATAAAACGAAGGCTTGAAGCTCGGGATCAAATAACGAAAAAAATCAACAAAAATAAGAATGTAAGTCGAAAGAAGAAAAAACGTTTTGCGCCGTTTACACTTCGGATCGTTTAGATACATATGGTATGTGGATTCGTGCGCTTCCACACATGTTATCTCCAGCGACGAATGCTTCGAGAAGATCAACGGTAAAATGGATACGTCCATTTCAACTGCAAGCGGTCGTATAAAAACTCAGGCAATTGGAAATACCAAACTGCGAGTTGTCACGTAAAATGACGCTGAGACATTCAAAGTTACAGATGTTCTGTATGTACCAGATAGCAAGATAAATTTACTTTCCGTATATAAAATAGTAAACAAAGGTTATTCAGTTACATTCGCACCGAGTGCCAATAAAATAACCAATTCAAGCGGAGAGTTGGTGGCAGCTATTGAGCGAAGAAAATGTCATGTACAAATTGGACACAGCATCAGAGCCTCAGGTATATACGGCTACATGCGAAATTGCTGAAGAATTATGGCACAAACGTCTCGACCATAAATCGTCAAAGCATGCTCCTCCTAAACCAAGGGATGGCTACTGGAATAAAATATAACGAAAAATCTGAACTTCCGACTTGCACTTCATGTGTGAAAGGTAAGCTGAGTCGTCTACCCTTTAACCAACAGGAAACGCGCGCGTCACAAATACTGGAATTGGTACACTCAGATTTGTGCGGTCCAATAAAGAACGGTTCCATCGGGGGATCAAAATACTTCCTAACTCTAATAGACGACAAAACTAGGAAGGTTTTCGTATATTTTTTAAAGTTAAAGGATCAGGTTGTAAGTTGTTTTGAAGACTTTCAGACTCAGGTCGAGAACGAAACTGGTCGGAGAATTAAAAAGCTAAGGACAGACAAGGGGGCGAGAGTACGTCAACCAAAATCTAGAAAGGATATTAAGAAGCTCAGGGATTAAACATCAGCTTACGGTCCCGTATTTCCCGTAGCTAAACGGGCTCGCCGAACGAATGAACCGCACTTTAGTAGAAAAAGCACGATCCATGCTGATTGAATCAAATTTACTCGTGTATTATTGGGCCAAGGCTGTATCTACGGCAGCCTATCTCATAAACAGGTCGCCGACGAAAGGATTAAAGAACATAACACCAGAGGAGGCGTGAACAGGGAAGAAACCGTTTCTTGCGCATCTTCGTGTATTTGGTTGTAGAGCGCTGGCATATATCCCGAAAGAGAAACGTCAAAAATGGAATCCGAAAATCAGAGAATGCACTTTCGTTGGATATTGTACTGATTCAACAGGTTATGGTTTAATGGATCCAGTTACAAAGACGATTTTTAAAAGCAGAGATGTTGTTTTTTACGAAACTTCACAGAATACCGCAAACACATCAAAAGAAGAAGACAAAAATAACTGAGGATTTGAACAACCCTTCTACAACGTTGAAGAGGACCACAACAAGGAAAATGACTAAGAAGAAGACGCCGAGGTGATTTCAAGCAACGAATCTGGACAAGTTAACTATTTTGACGCCGATTCGGAAACATAAGTCTCAGAGGCTGAAGAACTATCAGAGCAGTCTAACGACACGGAAGATGACCACGATGAGACTGAAATAGATCAGACAGCCAACATTCAAGATCGCGCTCCGATGCAACCTGCGCTTAAAAGGTCACAGAGAACTCGAAAACCGAAAGATTATGGAGATGATTTTCTTACCTACTTGACTACAAGTGATGTTTTTACGGATCCAGTCAACGTAGAAGAAGCATGGACGATCGTCGTCCGCATTACCTGAAGATAAAATACAATCTTTGAAGAAAAATTAAACTTGGACACTGGTCGACCCTCCACAAGATAAGAAAATCCTAGATACAAAATGGGTATTCAAAACCAAAGTGAACGCCGCGGGAAAAATCGAAAGGTACAAAGCTCGATTGGTCGTGAGAGGATGTTCACAGGTAACAGGTATCGACTATAATGAAGTATATTCTCCGGTAATT